AAAAAAAAAAAAAAAAAAAAAAGATTTTTAATGAGTAGTAGAAAAGTTCAGAAATCCAGTTTTACTTCTGTTCGTTAAGGGTATTTTTTTCTTTTATATGACCAAATTAAATAGCTCCTAGAAAATTTATACTTTGAGTAAGCTATTTGTCTTTGTATTCCAGGCAGAAGGATGCCACGGAGAAAGAAAAAAGTGAAAGAAGCCGTTGAATCTCAGAACCTGGAGAAGAAGGATGTGGAAACTCCCAGTTCTGTCAGTGCGAGGAAGAAGCGCAGACTTGAAGATGCATTCATCGTGATATCTGATAGCGATGGAGAGGTCAGTGTTGGAAAGTGGAGTTCTGGGTCTCAGCTGGCCTCTTTACCCGTGTCTGGTTTGTTTTGTGACTGTACCTTAGTGCCAGCTCACCAAGACCATGCAATTTCTACTCATCTTTGTTTTGATTTATAAATGGAATTAAGAATTGCTTAAAAGAAAGTAATCATGCTGTTCAGTTGAGGACGGATCATAGGTCTTCAGTTTTATAATATAGTAACTCAGTGATATTTTAGAACTATTTGAATAAATCCATTGTAAATCTTAATTTTCGCGTGTCTGGCAAGTAAAGGAAAATGTGAATGTTTTTAAGTCTCTAGATATGTTCTAGATATAGAGGTACCTAACCACCTGCAGTTGTTTAAACTAAAATTAATTAAAATTAAAAATCAGCTTCTTTATTGCGCTAGTCACATTTCCAATGATCAAAGCCGCGTGAGACTAGTGTCAGGTCCATTAGGCAGCACAGCTGTGGAGCGTTTCCATTGTTAGAGCACTTTGTTGAATAGAGCTTCTGTAGAGCTCATCCTCTGGTCTTTCGGTGCCTATTTCCCGTTTGTTTATTGGAGGTTTTTTTTCCCCTGCCTGTAGGTCAGGTCTAACAAACAGGTAATTAGGTCATTATTTTTTCCTTCAAATTTCCTTCTCTTTCTCTATATCTTTTTTTTTTTTTTTTTTTTTTTTTGAGTTGGAGTCTCACTCTGTCGCCCAGACTGGAGTGCAGTGGCCGCTCCCGGCCACCGCATCCTCGACCTGCGGGGCTCCGGCGATCCTTCCTCCTCAGCCTTCCGAGTAGCCAGAATTACAGGCACTCGCTACCACGCCCGGCTTATTTTTTGATTTATTGTAGAGATGAGGTCTCGCTGCCCAGGCGGGTCTCGAACCCGCGGGCTCAGGCAGTCCACTCACCTCAGCCTCCCAAAGGTGCGGGATTACAGGCTGAGCCACCGAGCCTGGCTTCTCCTATATCTTTTATCTCACTTAATGGTAGAATCACTCATTTCCCCTAGCGTTAAAGCTCCGCATTATCTCTGACTCCTCATCTTTTACACCTAATTGGTCTTCACATGCTTTAATTTTTACCTCCTGGCGTGGCACGATGACTCAGGCCTGTAATCCCAGCACTTTGGGAAGCCGAGGCAGGAGTATCCCTTGAGTCCAGGAGTTTGAGACCAGCCTAGGCAATATAGCAAGACCTTTTCTCTACAAAAAATCAAAAATTAGCCAGGCGTGGTGGCACACACCCATAGTCCCAGCTACTCAGGAGGCTGAGGTGGGAGAATTGTTTGAGCCCAGGAGGTTGATGCTGCCATGAGCTGTGCTTATACCGTTATACTCCAGCCTGGGTGACAGAGTGAGATGCCAACTCAAAAAATACACAAATAGTCTGGGCGCATTATGCCTATAATCCCAGCACTTTGGGAGGCTGAGGTGAGAGGATTGCCTGAGCCCACAGGTTCGAGACTAGCCTGGGCAACTTGACGAGACCTCATCTCTACAATAAATCAAAAAAATGAGCTGGGCGTGGTGGCATATGCCTGTAGTTCCAGCTACTTGGAAGGCTGAGGTGGAAGGATCGCCTGAGCCCAGCAGGTCGAGGCTGTGGTGGCCCTGAGTGTGTGCCACTGCCCTTCAGCCTGGATGACAGAGTAAGACTCCAACTCAAAAAAATAAATAAAAATACACAAATAAATAAAATAAAAATACAATAATATATAATTTTTATTGTCAACAAAAATTTAAAAACGTGGTATTAGTCTTGGCAAGTGGGCAATAAAATGAATGAACTTCTGATAAGAATGTAATGACACTATTTGTGAAGGTTCTTAGCGATCATACCATCCTAAAATTCTAAACTGCTCTTGCAGAGATTATGGAGCCAAAGTTTTTTTGTTTTTTGTTTTTTTGAGTCAGGGCCTAACTCTGTTGCCCAGACTAGAGTGTAGGGGCATGATCACTGCTCACTGCAGCCTTGACATTCTGGGCTCATGTGATCCTCCTGCCTCAGTCCCCTGAGTAGCTTGAAGTACATGTAAGTACCATCTTGCCTAGTTGATTGTTGTGATTTTTTTTGCAGAGATGAGGTCTTGCTGCGTTGCCTGGATTGACCTCGAACTCCTGGGATCTTTCCTACTTTAGCCACTCAGACTCACATATCAGCCTCCTCTGGAACACCCTTGCAGACACACCAAAGAGATAATGCTTTAGTAGTTCACTAGGTATTCCTTAACCCATTCAAGCCAAAATTGACCATTTTGGTATTTCTTGGAGCTCTTTATATAGCAGAACATATGTCAGATGTCAGATATGTTATACATACAGTAATAATGGGCATAAAATAAAAATAGTGTGAATACTTGTACTCACCATCTGAGAATCTCTCTTCTCTTCAGGGGTCCATCCCTACTTGCATTCTTTTCCACCCATCCAAAGGTAACCTCTGTATTTGTTTTGACCTCCCATGCTTTTCTTGCACTTTTATCACATTTATGTGTATCTCTGTATATTTTGATTTTTTTTCAAGTTGCGAGTTTTACTCTGTTGCCCAGGCTAGAGTGCCCAGTGGCACACTCATGCCATTGCAGCCTCTACGTGTTGGTCTCAGGTGATGTTTCCACCGCAGCTTTCCAAGTAGCTAGAACTACAGGTGTGTGCCAACACACCCAGCTAATTAAAAAAAAATTTTACTGTAGAGATGAGATTTTGCCAAGTTGCCGGCTGGTCTTGAACCCTTGGGCTCAGGCAGTTTTCTCACCTCAGCCTCCCAAAGTGCTGAGATTATAGACGTGAGCCACCACACCTGGCTCTCTATATTTTGAGAAGCAAAGTATTAGTGGTTAGAGATGTCTACCGCCATTTTTCAATAATCTACCTGTTCTCCAGAGATTTGAGATTTTACCTTTCTCATAAAGTAAAATCTTGTGGTTTTTTTTTTCTTTTTGAGTTGGAGTCTTACTCTTGCCCAGGCTGCAGGACAGTGGCACAATCATGGCTCACACAACTTTGGCCTTCTGGGCTCAGGTGATTTTCCCACTGCAGCTTACCAAGTGGTTATGAGGGACTAGGGACATGCCCACCATGCCCAGCTAATTTTTTTTTTTTTTGAGTTGGAGTCTCACTCTGTTGCCCGGAGTGCAGTGGCTTCTCCCGGCCACCACAGCCTCGACCTGCTGGGCTCTGACAATTCTTCTGCTTCAGCCTTCCAAGTAACTGGAACTACAGGCACACACTACCATGCCCGGCTAATTTATTGTAGAGATGAGGTCTCAAAAAAAAAAAAAAAAAAGATCTTCGGTCATTCCTGAGAGTCATTACTGACATTTTTTGGTTGAGTAAAAGTCTTTGCTTCTCTAGAAATAAACATATGTTCCTGACTGCCCTTTTTCCTCCATGTTCTAAATAATAGTTTCTTGACTTTCACAGTGTGTGTTTTCTAGCATCTGCTTACCCCTTTATAAAAGATAGCTTTGTATCACTATTTGCTCATAAAATTAACATCTGTATACCTAGAGGCATTTGTTCCCTTCAGTCTTTTGCTTGGATGCAGCTTTTAGTATTTCTTGTATCAAAAATAGGTTATAGATGAAGTGAATATTTTGTCTCAGCAGATTCTTTTGCAGTTTTTAACTTTACAGATTTTAAGCTCAGTTACCTATTTGTTTATTAGCCTTCAAAATGGCGCTACTTAAAACTTTTCATTTTTTATAGGCTTTTAACTCAGTATTTAACATCACTGAGTGCTTGTTGTGTGCCAGGTGCTCCTGGGACTGGGACTGCAGTGGTGGACAGCAGAATCTCTGCTCTTATAGAGCCTGCTTGGTGAAGGGCATCAAACCGACTTTGGTTTGGTACTAGAAACCTTGCCCTAGACTAGTTTTTTTAAAAAGTTGACCATTTCAGCTGGGCTCGGTGGCTCAGCCTGTAATCCCGTGCCTTTGGGAGGCTGAGGTGAGTGGATTGCCTGAGCCTGCGAGTTCGAGACCCGCCTGGGCGGTGAGACCTCATCTCTACAATAAATCAAAAAATCAGCCGGGCGTGGTAGTGCGTGCCTGTAATTCCGGCTACTTGGAAGGCTGAGGTGGAAGGATCGCCGGAGTCCAGCAGGTCGAGGCTGCGGTGGCCGGAAGTGGCCGCTGCACTCCAGTGTGGGCGACAGAGTGAGACTACAACTCAAAAAAAAAAAAAATTGACCATTTCATCATTGTTTTCTTTTCTTTTCTTTCTTTTTTTTTTTTTTGGTGTGTGTCACCCGAGTCTCACTGTCACCCAGGCTGGAGTGCAGTGGCACACTCATGGCTGCTGCAGCTTTGACCTGCTGGGCTCAGGTGACCTTCCACCTTAGCTTTCCAAGTTGCTGGAACCACAGGCACACGCCACCACATCCAGCTAATTTTTTGGTTTATTGTAGAGGCGAGGTCCCATCAAGTTGCTCAGGTTGGCCTTCAGTTTTAAAAGATTTTTTAAAAAACTTGGTTCAAACGATTAAACTGTTCTGGAATTTTTGAACAACCTCAACTTTAATTGTTCTATCTTTTGGTCTCTCCAACCATAGAAATAATCCAAAAGTTTTAGTATTGCATCATCCAGACATTTCCAACACTTTTTTTGTACAATAAAGAGTAAAAAAGTTTTTTGTCTTAGACTGTGTCTTGACTTGTTTTAGAAGATACTGTCACCAAATAGACAATAACAGTGTTTGTATATTTGGTATCTATTGAGACTAGCAACAATTCAGGTATATTTATTTATGACTTTTCCTACAAAGTCTTTGTATTTTAGAGATATCATTATAGTTACATTCTGGAGTGTGCAGTTAATAGTTTTGGAGATTTTGAACTTTGAATTCAATTATTTTTTAGATACAGGGACTATTCTTGTTATCTATTTCTCCTTGAGTAAGCTGTGGTAGTTTGTCTTTCAAGGAATTTACCCATTTTCAGCTGTTAAATTTATGTGCATAGAGTTTTTGTAGTATTCTTTTATTATCCTTCTGATATCTGAGGGTCTATAATGATTACCCTCTTTTATTCTTGGTATTCTTTTTTTTGTCAGTCTAACTAGAGGTTTATCAATTTTATTGATCTTTATGAAGAACTGACTTGGTTTTCCTTCAACCGGAGTAATTTCTTTTAGCTTTTTTTCTTTTTGAGTCAGGTCCTACTCTATCACCCAGGCTGGAATGCAGTGGCACGATCTTGGGTCACTGTAGGTCTTGACCTTATGGACTCAGGTGATCCTCCTGCCTCAGCCTCCTGAGTAGCTGGGACTACAGTCTTGCACCACCATGCCCAGCTAGTTTTTTGATTTTTTTATAGAAAAGTGGTCTCACTGTGTTGTCTAGGCTGCTCTTGAACTCTTGGGCCTAAGCAGTCCTCCTACCTTGGCCTCCCAAAGTGCTGAGATTCCAGGCTTGAGCCACCATACCTGGTCTAGCATTTTTTTTTTTTGAGTTGGAGTCTCACTCCATCGCCCAGACTGGAGTGCAGTGGCCGCTCCCGGCCACCGCAGCCTCAACCTGCTGGGCTCCGGCGATCCTTCCGCTTCAGCCTTCCAAGTAGCTGGAACTGCAGGCGCACCAGCTAATTTTTGATTTATTGTAGAGATGTGGTCTTACCAAGTTGCCCAGGCGGGTCTCGAACCCGCAGGCTCAGGCAATCCACTCACCTCAGCCTACCAAAGACGCAGAATTACAGGCTGAGCCACTGAGCCCGGCTAGAAAGGCTGTTTTTTCATTGGTTTGCTTTTATACCTATGTTAAAAATCTGTCACGTCTATACTGTGATCCTTTCACCTCAGCCTCCTGAGTAGGTGGGACCATAGGTGTGTGCCTCCATGTCAAGCTGACTTTTTAATTTTTTCTAGAGATGAAATCTTGCTGTTTGCCTAGGCTGGTCTCAAATTCCTGAGCTTATGCAATTTTTCTGCCTTAGTCTTCCAAAGTGCTGGGATTACAGGTGTGAACCACTGTGCCCAGCTGTATTTTTACTTTTGTATGCTGCATTTATTTGTTTTTGAGTTGGAGTCACACTTAGTCACCCAGGCTGGAGTGCTGTGGTATGCTCTCGGCTACCCCATCCTCGACCTGCTGGGCTCAGGCGAACCTTCTAAGTAGCTGGAACCATAGGCGCATGCCCGGCTAATTTTTTGATTTATGGTAGAGACGAGGTCTCAATACCCGTGGGCTCAGGCAGTCCACTTGCCTCAGCCTTTCAAAGTGCTGGGATGACAGGCTGAGTCACTGAGCCCGACATGAATGCTGCATTTATGAGGTCCATTTGATTTTCTTGTTTTGGTTAGTGATTTAGGTTTTCTTGTTCATCTGTATGCTTTAAGAATTTTTCTTTATCTTTAGGGTTTACTAAGATATGTCTGGGAATTAATTGTTCAAGGTCCATTTTCTTAGACATTGGTGGGTACTTTTAGTATACAGACTCTGGTCTTTCTTCCCCCTCCAAGAATGTTTTCTTGGATTGTAGTATTTCAAGTTTTAATATTGGCTTGTTCTATTGTTTCGTTTTTGGCTTCAGAGATCCCGATTATATGTGTATTGGATCATCTTTGCTTATATTCTCTTTAAGCCACTTCAGGCTCATTTCCCTCCTTTCTTTATTTCATTTTTTTCCCCTTTTGTAGAAATGAGATCTCAACTATGTTGCCCAGGCTTGAATTCCTGGGATAAAGCAATCCTCCTGTCCTGGCTTGGCCTCTCAGTGTTGCTTGGATGATAGATGTGAGCCAACACGCCTGGCCTATTTCATTTTTTGTTGTCTTGGTGTTTTTTTGGCCTTTCTTCAATAATCTTTATTAAATTTTGAGGTGTATTTGGTTCTCTTTTGTTTCTGTAGGATTTTTCATTTACCCTTTTTTTCTTTTCCTTCACTACCCAGTGAGGTGCCAAAGAGTGATTGAAAATAAATGAGTACACGCTGAGTTTAAACATTGTTATTGGTTTTTAAACCTTGAATCAAGCTTCTTTTATCTTGGGTGATGCTTATGGGTATTTTGGAGCTAGGCTTTTTTTTTTGAGTTGGAGTCCCACTCCGTCGCCCAGACTGGAGTACAGTGGCACACTCAAGGCCACCCCAGCGTCGACCTGCTGGGCTCTGGCAATCCTTCCACCTCAGCCTTCCAAGTAGCTGGAGCTATGGGCATGCGCTACCACACATGGCTAATTTTTTGATTTATTGTAGAGCTGAGGTCTCACCAAGTTCCCCAGGCTGGTCTCGAACCCGCGGGCTCAGGCAATCCACTCACCTCAGCCTCCCAAAGGCGCGGGATTACAAGCTGAGCCACCAAGCCTGTCCTGTCCTTTTTTAGAAAAATGTGACTCTGTACATGACAGATAATAATGTTAATTTATTATACATTTTTATTTTTATGATTTTTTTTTTTAGTTTCATATCTTACATGTTTTTCTTTTTCTTTTTTTGAGTTGGAGTCTCCCTCTGTTACCCAGGTTGGCGGGCAGTGGCATGCTCCTGTCCACCACAGGCGATCCTGCCACCTTAGCCTTCCAAGTAACTGGTACTATAGGCATACGCCACCATGCCCAGCTAATTTTTAAAAAATTTATTGTAGGGATGAGGTCTTGCCAAGTAGCCCAGGCTGGTCTCGAACCTGTGGGCTTAGGAAATCCTCTCACCTTGGCCTTCCAAAATGCTGGGATTGTAGGGGTGAGCCACCACGCCCAGCCACATGTTTTTCTTTCTGTACAGAAAAGAATCTTCTGATTTTTTTTTTTGAGTTGGAGTCTCACTCTGTCACCCAAACTGGAGTGCAGTGGTTGCTCCCGGCCACCACAAGGCTCGACCTGCTGGGCTCTGGCGATCCTTCTGCCTCAGCCTTCCAAGTAGCCAGAACTACAGGCACATGCTACCATACCCGGCCAATTTTTTTATTTATTGTAGAAATGAGGGTCTCGCCAAGTTGCCCAGGCAGGTCTTGAACCCATGGGCTCAGGCAATCCACTTACCTCGGCCTCCCAAAGCGCGGATTACAGGCTGAACCACCGAGCATGGCCTCTTCTGATGTGAGCTATCACATTTATAGCTATCACTGATTCTTCAGAGGGCTCCATTTGCCACAGAAGATGTAGAAGAGATAGAGAAATTACCACTTTTAATGACAGGCACCCTGATCATGTTTCTTGTTTTGCAACAGGAGTCAAGGGAAGAGAATGGATTGCAGAAGACAAAGACAAAGCAGTCAAATAGAGCAAAGTGTTTGACCAAAAGAAAAATTGCACGTATGTTTTTATTTTTCTTGTGATCGTTTGGAAATTGTAACAGTCATAGAATCAATACTAGCTTTTCTTTTCTTTTTTTGTTTTTTTGAGTTGGAGTCTCACTCTGTCGCCCAGACTGGAGTGCAGTGGCCGCTCCCGGCCACCGCAGTCTCGACCTGGTGGGCTCCGGCCGCCTCAGGCTTCCAAGCAGCTGGAACTACAGGCGCGTACTGTCATGCCCGGCTAATTTTTTGATTTATTGTAGAGACGAGGCCTCACCAATTGCCCGGGCGGGTCTCAAACCCGTGGGCTCAGGCAATCCTCTCGCCTCGGCCTTCCAAAGCACAGGATTACAGACTGAGCCACCGAGCCCGGCAATACTAGTTTTTCTTTAGAAAAAAGAGTTCTCTGAGTAAGGGTGTATGTGCTTCCTGTTTATAGTGAAATTCGTTAAAATTTGTAGGAGTTCCTTTTAGAGTTACTTATAGTTTATATAGTTGACTTATTAGAGGCAGGGTGTGGAAATAAAAAATGTGACTTTCAGAGCGAGGCACATTTGGATTTCAATTCTTGCTTTTAACCCCTTACTACTGCTTTTAGCTTACTTCTGTTTTTTCATTAATAAAATGTGGACAATAATACTTATTTAGAAAGTCACTCAGTAGAGACTCAAGTGATAGTACATATTACTGTTTTTGCCATTACAGTTCTGTGTTGGCAGTTTGCATTCTCTTTGTTACTCAGTCTTAAAGGTCATCAATCTTATTATACTTTTGCATTTTAATGTGAAATGAAATGTTCAGTTATTTCAACTAACTTTTCAGTATAACTAGTTGAAATTATTACAATAATTGATTCAAGATAAACAAGGTTTTTTCCACTGTTAATTTGAATTATGGGTGATTTAGGATTAAAGTTTCAGACTTGTATGATTAAGTATAAATAGCTCTTTGTTATTTATTTATTTATTTATTTGAGTTGGAGTCTCACTGTCACCCAGACTGGAGTGCAGCAGCCACTCCTCGCCACCACAACCTCAACCTGCTGGGCTCCGGTGATCCTTCCGCCTCAGCTTTCCAAGTAGCTGGAATTACAGGCGCATGCTACCACGCCTGGCTAATTTTTTTGGTTTATTGTAGAGATGAGGTCTCGCCTGCCCGACCGGTTCTCAAACCTGCGGGCTCAGGCAATCCACTCATCTCAGCCTCCCAAAGGTGTGGGATTACAGGCAGAGCCACCGAACCCGGCAGTTCTTTGTTATTAAATTATTGCAGTGTATCTAGATATAGCTGTCTCTATGGTTAGATCTATTTATTGTACTCAAGTTGCTGTCAGTCTTGAGAATTATAGGTAGTAGTTACTTTTTTTTTTGAGTTGGAGTCTCACTCTGTCACCCAGGCTAGAGTGTAGTGGCATGCTCACAGCCATTGCAGCCTCAACCTGCTGGGCTCAGGTGATCCTTCTGCCCCAGCCTTCCAAGTAGCTGGAACTACAGGAGTTTGCCACCATGCCTGGCTATTTTTTTTTTTATTTATTGTAGAGATGAGGTCTTGCCAAATTGTCCAGGCGGGTCTCGGAGCCCTGGACTCACATAATCCTTTTGCCTTGCAACTTCCAAAGTGCTGGGATTTCAGGCTTGAGCCACTGGGCCCAGCTGGTAGTTACTTTTTGAAATGTAGTAATCCTTATCAGTCATTGGCTAAGTTTTTGTTATCATTGGTAGACTGTTGCTGGTTGTTTGCTTGGTTTTCTTGATCTTTACAGTCAAAGTGGGTTCTACTTTTCTATTTTGTTCTACTTTTCTGTTTTTGATCATTCTTTTTCAAATCCATTGTGAGCCGGGCTTGTTGGCTCAGCCTATAATCCTGCACTTTGGAAGGCTGAGGTGAGTGGATTGCCTGAGCCCGTGGGTTCGAGACCCGCCTGG